CTTCACAGAGGACTGAGCGGGGATGGAGCTCTCCTTGTAAGTACGACAGATTTGCCGTGCAAGCGACCCAGCTGGACTCTGGCCTTTTTCCAGCCAGTACCAGGAAGCGATCGGTGGCCCCCGCAGGTCCCTGGCATTTACTCCCAAAGGGAGGGTGTGGAGTAGGCGCCGCACACAAGGTTAGATCAACCTGACTCGTGCTGGACGCGGGACGACTGAGCAGCAGACAGGACACCTGACCAACTCCATCGGGCCCAACGCCGCAGCAGGTCTTGAGGTCATGCCAAGCGACCGCGGGTAGCCACGGCCCGGCCTGCTCCCCAGCCCGAAGGCCCGAGTGCACAGGGGCCGAGGGCTCGGAGCTGCACTGCAGCGGCCCGGCAGCGCCAGCCCCTCACGCCGGTCAGGCCGAAGCCCCAAGCCGGAAGGCCTCACCTCGCGCGGGCGGCGGGCTCTTCGGAGTCTCGGCGGCTCAGCCCACCGTCTCCCGGCCCAGGCCACGGACGCCGCCGCCATCCTCTCGCGTCAGCGTCGTGGCGTCACTACTGCGCGCGCTGGACGCCAAAACAAACTTGGGCGGCCTACAGGGAGGGACCGAGGCGGACCCTCCGGGCAGAGTACGCGGTGGGCGTCCTCTGAGAGCCGACCAATCAACGTCTTCCGAGCGGAGACCGGCTCTCCTGGGGGGTGGGTCCGTTTGTGGCTCGAAGCGGCTCTTGAAGGGCGAGGGGAGAACACGGTGAGCATAGAGGCTTCTGTAACTGCCTCTGGATCTCCGCAGATGACTGACTTAGATTCATTACTGAAACCTGTTCTCTTTTGAAACTCATCTGACTGTAGCTCTGACTGGCCAGGGATACATACTATGTAGTCCCGGCTGGGCCCCGAACTCTCGGAAATCCTCCTCCCTCAGCCTCCCGTAATGCTGGATTACACGCTAATCTTAAAGCCAATTTTTAAAATTGCGGTGGAAACAATTTCTTACAATCAGATATGTTAAATAGGCAGTTAATTTCAGAATATGGTGAAGTCAGTTCTGGACTAACTTCTAGACAGTCTTGTTTTTTTTTTTTTTTTTTTTTTTTTTTGTTCGTTTGTTTTTGTTTTGTTTTATTTTGTTTTTGTTTTTTTAGTTCTCCCCTTACCCCCTCCACCAGACAGGGTTTCTCTGTGTAGCCCTGGCTGACCTGGAATTCGCTCTGCAGACCAGACCTTAAAGATTTTTAAAAGATCCTTAGCAATCTGGGCATGGGGGCGCACGCCTTTTTAATCCCAGCAATCAGGAGGCAGAGGCAGAGGCAGATGGATCTCTGAGTTCGAGGCCAGCCCGGACTACATAATGAGTTCCAAGACAGCCAGAGCTGCTCTGGGAAACCCTGTCCAAAAAAAAAAAAAAAAAAGTTTCAAAGCCTAGTGTGGAACGTGTAGCCTGTAACCCTAGTAGTTTGGAAGCAGCAGCAAGAAAGTCTTGGATTTAAAGCTAGCCTGGGCTACATGCTGCTATCCTGTATCAAAAAAAAAAAATTTTTTTTTTAACCAGTGTGTTAACATACACCTATAATCCCGACATTCAGGAATCTAAAGGAGTATTGCAGTGAGAGGTCAAGAATACCTAGGCTATATGAATTTTAAGTCAGTTTGGAATATAAATTAAGACTTATTTTAAAACAGTCACAATGAAAATTGTTTCCCAAAGTGTAATGGAATTACTCAAACCAAGGACTTTAACCTGGCGTATTGCACACCTATAGTGCCAGCACTTTGGAGAGCAGAGGCAGGTGGATGTTTAGAGATTTCAAGGCCAGCATGGTTTATACAGAAACAGGACAGCTGGGGCTGCTGCACAGTGAGAACTCGTCTAAAAGAAGAGCATTGACTTTGGAACCAAACTTGGGGTCAAATCTCAGTTCTGACATTTCTACAGTGTATGAGTTCTTAGGGAAGTCATCCCCCTAAAACCAGTTCACATACTGTTTTTCTAGCCTTATAATGACTTTAATAAACCTATATAGCCAGTTCGGTGGTGGTGCACACCTTTAATTCCAGTACTTGAGAGGCAGAGGCAGGTGGATTTCTCTTAGTTCTGAACTTAGTCTGTAGACCAGGCTGGCTGGTCTACAGAGGGTGTTCCAGGTCATCCAGGGCTACACAGAGAAACCTTGTCTGAAAGTATCAAAAACCAAAACAACCCCATTATAATCATAATCCCAATCTCACAGAGAGTAAAAATAAATAAATAGAATTCCAGGGTTAATGACACCAAGAAATCTATTCACTTGCATTTGACAGTTATTTGGCAAATAAATGTTTATGTATGGAAATATTCAAGTGCACCATGGTTTGGGCTCTAGGGAAAAGCACAGGCCTGACATTGAAGTGTGCTGGGGTGATGGCAACTGGACCTAGAACACCTGAACAACAAATTACACTTGGCCTACAGATCTACAGCTGTGGAAAACTGTCACTGTAATACTCGGGCCTAGGCAGCTGTGCCCAGGCCACAGAATCTTGGCTATCTTCCCATCCCTCCGCCCTAGCTCTGAGATAAAACCCATAAAGCCTTTAAGCCCCTGACCATAGAGCAAATTCTTTCCCCACTCATCCTCTCAACCCAGCCCATGCAAGAGTAGGGACTGTTGGGAGTAAAACATCAGGGTAAAAATAGGTCACTGCAGGATGGTAATCCCCAAAAATTGCTGGGCAGAACAGCCAGCCCTGTTCAGAGAAGCATGCTACTCCTGGCCATTTATTGGGTCTAGAAAACTTTTAGGATCTGACACCCTAGCCTCACCCCAACTGTATGCCCAGATTGAGAGAGATGCCCCAAAATGACATATCCCTCTACACTGGATTTATTCTCAGTCCAAAGTCTTGTTGACTATAACAATGCCTATGTTGAAGTTATAGATTCTTCCATTCTATATACTCCATAGTGCACTCTTTCTTTTTTATAATTTTTTATTTTATGTACGTTGGTGTTTTGCCTGCATGTATATCTGTGTGAGAGTGTTGGATCCCCTGGAGCTGGAGTTTTACACATTTGTGAACTGCCATGTGGGTTCTGGGAATTGAACCTGGGTCTTCTGGAAGATCATCCAGTGATCTTAACCACTGAGCCATCTCTCCAGACACCTATAATGTACTCTTTATCCTTAGTGTGAGTGCTAGAGACACAAAAACTACCCCTTGCCTTTAAGGAGTTCACATTTGGGAATTTTCACTGGGACTTGGGCAAGTATAACCCAGTATTATACTGAGACAGGGAAAAGCACAAGATCTGTGTTTATCTAGAGGTAGTTCTAATTCAACTTATATTCAGAGCAACAGGGTACTAATTTCTCTCCACATCAGCTCACCTTTCTTGTACCACATTTTTATGACAAATTTTGATTTCTATTACTTTATTTGCTTTGGCTTTTTTTTTGTTTGTTTGTTTTGTTTTGTTTTGGTTGTTTGAGACAGGGTTTCTCTGTAGATCAAGAAGGCCTCGAACTCAGAGATTCACCTGCTTCTGCTTCCCAATGTGTGTACCACAGCCACCTATCACCTTGTTGTTTCTTTATGTATAAGTACATGTGCACACATACACCAGTTCCTATGTGGAGGTCAGAGGATAACATGTCAGAGTCAGATCTCTCCTTTTACCATATGCCTTCTTGGCAAGTGCTGAGCCATCTCACTGGCCTGCACCCTGTGTGTTTGTGTGTTCTACAAAATCAAGGCTGGGTATTATTTCTTAGGTGCCATCTACCTCATTTTTTGAGATAGGCTCTCCTAGAGGCCTGGAGCTCAGAGATTAGGCTAGGCTGGCTCTCCAGCAAGCCCCAGAGATCCACTTGTTTCTGCCTTCCTAAGGCTGGAGATACAAATGCATGCCACCATAATGTATTTTACATAGGTCCTAGGGGTCAAACTGAGATCTTCATGCTTGAGTGTCAAGCACATTGTTGAATGAGCTCCCCAACCCTTCTGAACTACTTGTAAGGATGCTGTCCATGTGAGCTATCATATCCCATGTGCTATTTCTCTTCCTCAAGGACTAGCTTAACACAAGCATCAGTTTCTCAACTCAGAAACTAGAGGAAGTGAATAATAGAAGCCCATGAGGAAGCTATGGCAATGTCCACAAAAGTCATAATGTTTAAGGCTAGGAACGGTAGTACATCTTTGTAATCCCAGTACGTAGGAAGGAGAAGCAGGAGGATCACTCCAACTTTGAGGCCAGCCTGTGCTACATATTGAGTTCCAGGCTAGTCAGAGCTACAACAAAAGGTCCTATCTTAAGGAAGGAAGGAAGGAAGGAAGGAAGGAAGGAAGGAAGGAAGGAAGGACAGTGTTACCCTTCTCTGTTCTTCTGGCCCCACTGGAATGAATAGGAGCTTTGCCCACACCACATACTCTCATTTTATTGCTTCCAAAACACCTTCTTGAATAATTTTGTTTCCTCACTACAAACCCCAAAGAACAAGCTTCTGGAGAACAGAAGCCAGACCACCCCTCATTATGGCTTCAACTTGTGTAACTTGAGATCCTGTTCGGTGTTTGAATGTGGACAGAGCTTCTGCGTGGTCTTCTCTTTGGACAGACTAGTCTAGACCTCAGAAGACCAGATTAAGCACTGGATCTGCATATGTCTGAGGGTTTAGCAGAGGGAGGTGCAGGTAAGGCATCAGGAGACTGCAAGGAGCCTGAGAAAGACCTCCCCTGGCCACTAAGGTTGAATTCTGGACCCCATTGGTCCCTGGCCCCCCATCCTTGTCAGGTTGGGAAGGCAGAGAAGAGCTGTGCATTCCAGCAGATCTTGGGTCTCTACTAGAGCTCTTGGGACCCAAGGTACTCCTGGGATCTATAGTGTAATGGAAAGAAACCTCAATGCTGCCACCATGAAATGTTTGTAAGGATGAATGAGTCCCTTGTGGAAGTTCTAAACCACACCCAGCTTCTGTGGGGCCCCTGCTTTGGCCAAGAGGGCCACAGCCAGGAGAAAGAAACCAGCTTGGTGCAAATATAAATACCTTTAATGAAAATTATGCACACTCTGCAGAGCCCACACAGCGGCCACTGCATTCAGTGATGGGAGGCAAGGGCACTGTTGGCTAGCCAACCAGACTGTTTAGGCCAGAGGCCCCAGGAGGCAGGCAAGTGCCAGAGCAGCAGCAAGCAATGCAGGGGTTGGGGCTGGAGCCAGTGCAGGAGCTGTGGCCCGGAGTGTCTCCTGGTTGGTCTCTGGGCCAGCAACCATTTCCCGAACACTCACAGGGGCACCACAGAGGATGTGCAAGTTATCTGGGTGGGGGGCACGGCGAGCTTCTTGCTGCAGGGACTCCCACACTGCGGCGGCCTCCTCCGGGCACTCTGACAGGACCCGAGAGGCACAGGCATGGAAGTCATTCCAGGATCTGTTACAGAATGGGGTTAGGGGGTTAGGCAGAGCACGAATATTTTAGAGTGGGAAGAGACTCAAGGCCATGAGGTTGCTATCCCAGTGGCACAGATTATTAGGTGGTGCCTCCCATCAGCCCATTGCCTCCCACCTGCTGGTACCTGCAGACAGTTTGGAGCTCTCGTCCATGGCCCATGCTGTCCCCCAGGCGGATGAGACACTCAGCAAAGCCTTGGTATATGGAATCACAGCGATTTGGACCATCAGAGGCCATAGCTAAAGGGGGTACAAAGACTAGGAGGGGGGTGGGGATGGAGAATGGTTGATAGAATGAGCCAGGGTCCATTGTAAGGACCTTGTTTACCTGGTAGTGCTCTGGGGACATGACTCAGCGTCAAAGAGGTGCCCCCAGGGAACTTCAGGGTATCTGGAGATCACTTGTCTTGATTCTCAAGATAGGATTTGGACTGTGATGCACATGGAGGTGAGATGGAACAGGAAGGGGGTGTTGGGTCCAGAGCTCACTCAGTTCCTTCTCTAGTTTCTGGGGCTCTAGGTCAAAGACAGGGATTCAGGGGTATAGGGTCTGGAAGCATGAGATCATGGGCAGAAGGCAGCCTTTCTGTAGTTTTCATGAGCTTCAACTGGTACCCCTAATGCCTTCCCCAAAGACAAGTGTCTCTGCTGAAGCTGGGCAGGCAGGGTGAGGACCAAAGCCAGCCCCTCTAAGCTCAGAGACCCATGGTGTGAGTTCTACTCAGGGTCACAAACTCCCTTTTTCAGAAGAGGGGCTACAGAATTTAAAAGTCCTTCTCCCGTAGCCAAGCTGTCTGCATAGCACTTTCCATCCAAAGCCATTAGTATACTTTCCTAGAGCTCTTACTGTTGATGTCTACCCTAATCCCTCTGCTCCCACACCGTATACCCAGTCTGAGAAGGAGTGCAGCCTGGCCCCAGGACAGTCACACTCACCGAGTGGCAGCAGCAGCAGCAGCGACAGTGTCAGGGCACAGGGTAGCCGCTGGCAGCAGCAGCACATCATCCCTGGCTATCAGCCTAGTGAAGGAGCTACAGGCTTGGAGAGCCGCCTGTGGGCCCAGCCTCCAGAGGGAGGGATCCTGATTGGATGGGAGCTGGAGGAGGGGCCTCATCCCAGCTGTCAGTCCCACCTCCAGTATCTAGATTGGCAGAGGAGCTAGGAAGGACCCCAGAGGGCAAAACTGGCTAGAGGAGACATGTTGATGCTGAGCTGGCTCTAGGAGCTTTGCCTGAATTGGACAAGGGAGATATGAGTAGACAGTTTATCAGATGAGAATGGGAGCCAGGGAACCCCCAGGGTGAGTTGGTTTAGATGGACTTTCCCAAAAGGAGAAGAGAACAGTTAGTCACATCAAAGACAAATCAAAACCATAAACAGATTGTTTTATTCCAAAAGCCTTTAATTTCTCAATGTTTTTCAAAAACAAAAAGATCCAAATTAGAGGTAAAAAGGAACATGGAAAATTCAACTCAAGTGGTATCACGATCTTGGGGTCATGCTTCAGGCATGGCAGGACCCAAGAATGCACAATACCTGCCCTGGGTCCAGCCTAACCCTGCTGGTTACCACAATCAGTAGACCACTGCCAGTGTATCCTCCTCCTACCTCCCTTCAAACACTAGAGATGGAGGCCTGGGCAGGTAAACAACAGACATGGGCCTGCCTTGGCCTAGATCTGTAGACTGGCCTTTAGTGTCACGCCATCTCTGTTCAAACAGCTAAGGGAGGCTAGGGGTTGCAAGGCCATGTAACATTAGGCTGAGACGACGGGCAGCTTTGCCAAGAGAGTTGTGTGGATCAGCTTGCAGGAACTGGAAGAGCTTCTGGCGCACCTGGGCCATGACAGAGCCCATGTGGTCTCGAGTGATGGGATCACTGTGGTCCAGGTGCATCACAGCCTCTTCCAAATAGCTGAGGATAGAGAGAAAGGACAAGCTATAGTTGAATGCCAGCAGAGAGGAGTGCCCCCTAGTGGCACTGAAGACCAGAGAGAGAGAATGACAAAGACGGTTTCTAAACCTCATATGGGAGGAGGTTCTAAACCTCATATGGATAGAAAAATGAGGGATGGAAGTCAAGGTAAGAGTGGGTGTCTGCTTTAAGCTGTTCTCTCTGTCCCTGACTGCCCCACTCACCTGAGCTTTAGGTCACTTCTAGTTCCAAGGTCAGATGCCAGCTGCTGGATTAGGGAAAGGAGTACAGGCTGGGATAGTGGACAGGGCGGCTGCCCAAAAACCTGGGCTGGGTCCACGGTCTCACACACATACAGCACCAGGTTGAGATCAGCGGCTGTCAGTGCCTGGGAGTAGAACAGGGCAGCATGCTCATTTACACCTAACACCAGGATGGAATACTTGCTTATGTGAGGCGTATGGCTTAAGGGCAAATGACCAAAGCTGGATTCTAAAGGTCCCAGAAATGATGTTCAGAAACACTTGATAGGACTGTAAAGTTACTTTAAAAATTCAGATTACACAGCTTTCCTGAGAAAACTGATCATGAGGAAAGATGGGTTGAGGTAGGAAGAATTTTGTCTAACATGAGGGAACAACAGGGGCAGTGGCTTGGAAAGCCAAAAAGCCAGACAGCCCAGAGCCTGCTGGGGAAGTGGACATCTTTGTCAGGGGATCATCAGGGCCTAACACTGTCATACCTGCTGGAAGGCCTGATTAAGGTGGCCCTGCTGCAGTAACTGCAAGATATGAGCTTGTTGGGCCTGGCAGTCAAGGTGCGAAGAAGGAACAGGTGTGCCAGCAGCCGAGCGCATGGCCTGCATGATGCTGGAAGTGACAGTGGCCTGCTGCTCCTTAAGTGCCACACTTACTTCACCCTTAACAATGCGTTGTACTTGTGCTAAAATTGACTCCTGCAAGCTGCAAAGGGAAGTGAGCCAATGAGGTGGATAGGAAGCCCATTCTGGCCCTTCCCAAACCTACCACCCCCACCCAGAACCCTGCCCACCCACCTGCCTACAGCCACATGCAGCTGGTGTTGCACCTCAGCCCGAACACTGCTAGACACAGTGGCTGCCATCTGCTCAGTGGCACTCTGCAGTGTGCTGACCAAGCCCCGAAGCTGGGCCAGCACAGGCTCCCTAGCTTCCTGTTCACGTGCCTTCCGGCTCTTCATGTGACTCTCTAGCTGCTGCAAATCTGAAGTTTGACAACAGAGATCATAAAAGAGATGACAGCAGAATACAATCATTCTTACTACTTTGGGTTTTATGACACCACTTACATTCCTGTGTGCCCAGCCTAAAGCTATCATTGATTTGCTGGAACATAGCCTGGCAACTCTTTTCAAAAGCTGGCAAAACCACACTCTGGAAGGCTTCCCGGTAGGCAGCCTGCATTGGTCCCTGTAATGTGTCTGCAGCTGCTCGGGCAATGGCATCTGTCAAGTTCTAGAATATAAGAAATGGTCAAGTTGAAAACCTGAATTCAATCTAGCCTGCCTAGCTACACTTCCCATCTTGGACCCTGTGTCACCTTGGACTTGAGTAGCTTAGAGATATTCTCTTTCATGCTGCCTTCCACAGCTGTAAGTTTGGTAGCCACTGAGTTGCTTAGTTGACCCGCCACAGGCTCCAGACTTCTGGAGACACCTAAGAAAGACAGATGGAACAAGAAGATTAAAAGCTTCCTGCATCCACATGGCTCACCCAAAAGAAATCTCAAGAAACACTCACATGGAGGAACTGTCTTCTTGATTTCATCCCTTATACTGCGCTCTAGCCGTCCAGCCACAGCTGAAGACAATGCCTGGGACAGCTGCTGTGTCAGCTGCTCCTGCAGCTGCCCACCCCGTTGCTGCCCCTCAGCCAGTGCCCGTTCCAGTCGCCGCTCTGTGGTAGAGCTAAGGAACAGGCTTACATCGGGACCTACGCATTTCCTATGGCAAGAATGCTGCCGTGCCCTATTGCCATGCTGTGCCACTACCCCAAGGATACGCTCTTGTTCATGCCGGGTCTCCAGGGCACGTTCTACATGGTCAGTGACAGTGTTCTGTAGGCCTTCAAGTTGGGCACAGAGACGCTGTAGCAGCTCTTCTTGGTTGTGCCATAGCTCTGCCAGCTCTCTTTGCTGCTGCCAGATTAATGCTGGCCAGTCCTCAGGGGGCTCTCCCACCTGCCAGAAACACTGACAACTTACACAATGTCTGTCCTTCCTATCTCCACCCACCATAAAAAGGAATAGCTTATAGTCCCCTCCCACCCTCGTGTGGTGGGTCCCATGGGTAGAAAAGTGCTCCCTTACATACCTGGTGCTCTGTGAGCCGGGATCCCACAGCTGAATCCCTACATAGGCAAGGAGCATCGAAGGTCACATCAAGCAGCTTGGAGACCACCCCTGACCCCAGTCCCAGAACCCTCCTACCCATCATCCTTCTTGCTTTTCCTCTTGAGTTTGGGTGAAGTTCTAGGGGATCCCTTGGTCTTCCAATCCTTGGCAGGCAGCCGTGGAGTAGGAATTTTGGTACCAAAACCTCCTGAGGCAGAAGCAAGGCTGGCAACCTCATCATCATGGTCACTGTGGGAAGGGAGGCAGGCTAAGTGCCTGCTCACTGGCTGGCCCTCCTTTATCAGAGGAACAGCATAGAGCAAGATGGTGCTCACCTTTGCTCAGCACTAGTGTCCTGACTGTCATGTTGCTGTAGTAGATGATAAGGTGGCCGATGGAAGACCAGGCTTTTGTGCTTTTCCTGGAGGCCATTCCTGGGGCTAAGGAAACACACTGACTAAGAATGAATTATTCTAATGATCCTCCCATAAGCATACGATCTCCTTCTAATCATCTCACCTTTCTGCCAAGGTACTACAAGTTTCACGAGTAATGTCAGGTGCTGTAGGCCAGACTTGACTGTCAGAGGTTGCAACTTCCTGGGTCAAGGCTGCTTCCAGTAGGGAGGGGGTATTACGCCGATCCCCATCCCCAGGGCCTCCATCCAGGCCAAGCTGAGAGCCAAGTTCAGGGCCTTGCCGGGGCCGGGGAGATAGTAAGTGCAGTGCAGAAGCAGCTGAGGCCATACTGTCTGGCTCACTGAGACCCTCAGGAACAGAGGAGCCAAAGCCACGGGACAAGGCCTCAGACGCAATTTCAGGGATGTCCTGGGACAGGGCAGTGGATGCTGAAGAGATCACATCAGGGGAACGGGTGCGACTGGGGGAGGCCTGGGGTAGCCCCAGAGGTTCCACTTCTTGCAAATCCAAGGATAATGCAGAGGCAGCAGTAGATACCTGAGAAGGGCCAAAGATGAAGGCTTAAGACAGGAGGTGGTGTCATACACCTTTAATCTCAGCGCTCCAGAGGCAGAGGCATATGGATCTCTGTGAATTTGAAGGCAGCCTGGTCTACAGAGCAGATTCCAGGACGGCCAGGGCTACACAAAGAAACCCTGTCTTGAAAAACCAAAAAGATGTAGACTTAAGTAATAAGGGGTATAAGACAAGGTACTGGTATCGCAGTGATGAGAGTCTAACAGAGAAGGGATAGGCAAGTGAAAAGCAGGGCCATCGTTCAGTTTATGGGGGGAGGGGGAATGGGAGGTGAAGGAGATGCCCCCCCCTATAAAAAGCCTCTACAAACTTAGGAAATATGAAGCCCCCAAGGCCAAGCAGGGTCAGCAGGAAAAATATGTAGGCATAGAGCGCTCCAATCTTCCCCATTGCCTTCCACCTGCTATCCAATACTTTACACCTCCCCACATACACACACACCTGCCCAGGTCCCTTGGGAGTCAATTTGTCAGCTGGGCCTGGGAGTAGGCCAGGAAGGAGGCTTCGAGGGCTTGCCTGCAGGCTATTGCTGCTGCTGTTTATTGTCAGGCTGCCATCCAGTTGCAGCTTGGGACTCAAGGTCAACTCCTCAGGTGGCCTACTGACAGAAAGGTAAGACATTAGCTACTTAATGTAATTTGTCACAATCTGGTACTAGACTCTGCTATCGCATAATCTTTGCCTTACCTGGGCAAGGAGGGGTCCATGGCTGAGGAGCTACTCACAGCAGACACAGCTGTCAGGGAACTGCTGCTGCTGCTGTTGCTGCTGCTGCTGCTGCTGCTGCTACTACTGCTACTGCTACTAGGGGACGCAGATATCTGGGAAGATCCAGAGAATGAGCACTAAGGATGCTAATGGAACATTACCAGGCCTCTCTTCACTAAGGAAGTACCTGCT